TACAAAAGCCTCAGCTTCGCGAACTTGTTCGTCGTTGATATTTGAAAATATGAGCCATTCGATATTGTGGACATTGAAGTCACCGAACATGGAAATTTCGGCACAGGAATGATTGATTTGCAGAAAGTCGTTGGTGTTTGCAAGTGAAGAGAATAGTGCCCTGCATTGTGTATTGCTAGGTGGTCGATAAACGCAGCATATGAATCTTGTGTGATATCATTTTGAACCACATAACGTTGACAGGAAAGATCGCTTCTGATAAAAAGAGATATTCCAAAGTTACGTCTAAATCGGGAGTGGAAATCATAGCCGGCTTATAGAAAATTGACGGGGTTTGTTGAAGCACTGACGTTGGTTTGTTTGAGTGCAAGAATATGAGGACTATTTGATTGCAGATGTTGGTGCACTGAATTTATATTTAAGTTGAGTCCTCTGATATTGCAGAAATCGATTTTGAAGTTTCAGTGGGCCTATTGGCATTTGCAGTTACCATGCTATTTTTCTGTGGAGTAACGTTAGGAAGACCCTGTTGTCTGTCAGAAATAGTGGTTTTCGAATAACTTCTGCAGGAGGATGCCCTTGAATCAGCCCCCACCAGGAGATCAGATTGGGGAGCTACTTTACCTCCGGAGTATTTTGATTTTAGGAGAACCATCATGTATTCTTCCTTATATTCCCAGCTTCGAAACCGAAAACAGCGGCACAGCAACGAAACGTTAGCATGAAAACAACTTCACGCTGCCTAAGCCGTTGCTATGGTATCTCACCGAGCGATGCCAGGTGGGATCAGCATCTACCAACTACCATCATTTCAAATTGTATGCAATGGTATTCAATTCCGCATCAAGTCTTTATTCGTGTCATTATTATACTGAGTCTGGTTCATAATGAATGATTCCTTAATTCCTCCGAATATTTATCAGATAACTTACAGTTATCTATAAAATGTACTAGATTACTTTCGTAACTTATCACTTTAATTATTTATTATTACCGTGTTAGGAAACACACGTTGAAAGGTAAGACCTCGTTAGTTCTCAGCTCGCACAAGTTTCTCAACTTCTGAGAGTGGTCGTTCGTATGGGGGCGACAGCTGATTAAAGGAAAAACAGATTTTTCTTAAACAGATTTTAAATTCAAGGCAACCGATTTTGGCACGGAGTCACAGAAACAGTTTAGTCTGATGCATTTCGTACTGTAAAAGTCCAAAATTCTTGGGAAAGAATTTTACAGAAGCTTGAAAAAATGTAGTTATCACCCGAAGACGATTGTGGATACTAACAATCGAAACGTCATGAAGTAACTTGGTTTGGAATCTTCTTTTTTTAGATAATCTAATTCAAACTTCAATGAAACATTGAATTATGAAACAACAATAAAAATTATTTGGCGCTCCAGGGCGACTTCATTGATTCCAGTAGCGCATTTGCTTTTTCAGCTGCAGGAAAACCCGGAAAAACCTGCAACACCACATCATCTGAAGATCTTGATCTGGCAATGTCCTCTCTCTCATAAAACAAAATGTAGGATGTCTCCAGAGGTTCCAATAAATTCAATACATTGCCAGAACACTTGACACGATTATCGTCAAACTCAAACCAGTCCGTTTGGTCCAAGACGTAATAATGACCAAATTCAACGTCAGAATCACAGTGAACAAGGACTGCATAAATATTAAAATAGTGGTCTGCTAGATTGAAGTGTTTATCTATTTCGAACCTTCGTAGGAGTTTCGTGCTTATGTCAGTGTTAACAGTCAGTTAGTTTGGCGCATGTTTGGCAATACAGACGATCATTACCTGTTGAAAGTTCCATTTTCAGATGATTTAACAATAAGCTTTGAACTGACTGGTCATTAGTCATATTAGGAAACGCTAGTTGAAGTTCCAGAAATTCACATTCGTTTTTGCTACCTCTTAAACATTTACTACAAAGTAAACAAGTGAAGATTTTTCAGTAAAATATTTACAAACACAAGATGAGATAGACTGTACGGAATTATTAAATCCAGAGCGGTCAGGAGTATTGATTCTGCTATTGTTTTGCTCACGAATAATATTCATCAAGAACCCCAAGGATTCGGAAAAATCCTCTTGTCCTAAAGAGTATATAGTGGACTGACTTCAGGAAATCGGTTAAAGAGAAAGCATGAACAGATGTTTGAGTTTGGTGAATATGTAGGAAAAATTTTTGTTATCGTTCATCATCAAAACCTCGTTCTTGAAATTCTTCGTCACGAACAACACTTTTAAAATACTATTCATGTAGCAAGTATTTCCTAAATTATCTAATCCAATTTTCTTCTCAAAGTTTTCAGGACAACTCTCTACTGATTCGTAAGGAAGAACGTGTTTCACATAATCTGCATGAGAATCATTTCCCAAGCGGCGATCGATCCTTCCAAGTGATGAAGGGTTTCGTAGAGGTATCGATTCGTCTCTTGCTTCACGAAGCTCTTCCACTGAACGGAAACCAGAACCACGAGGACCGCAACTAATTTTTGGGAGGCATGAATGATCTAAGTTCATTAACCATACTGCAAAAGAAAAAGGTGGATCAATCACTTGCGAATTAACCTTGATAGGCGACTGATGAATATTCACATATCTCGGCTTGTTTCGAAGAGATTTTAGTTCAGTACTGAAAATTAGGGCAATGCCTGATCTCATCAAAATTATGTGAAGAAGGAATAGTTCCAAAGACCGAAGCAGCATAAACCACGTTGAATAGCAATAATAATTCTTTCTATCAAAAAAGAGGTAGAAAGGTGATATTTCGTTGCTTGGAATCTTTCAATTTTATATTTTCAATTTTCATTTCTTGTTGATAATTTTCCAATTTTTTTAACTCGTGTTGATAGTTCAATTTTTTGTGTTTTTTTGTTGTTGCTTGCATGTTATCCCATTGTAATTTCAGTTTTTTCTTGATAAAATTGTTTTTTCAGCTGATCTTTTCAATTTTTTACAGTTTCTTTCAGGAATTTCGAATCAATTTATATCATATTAGACAATAGAAGTCCGAACTAATGAAATGCTTGAAGAAATGGATTAGTTGAATATATCTAATTGTCGTTTACTATATTCACGTTGTTCTTCCATGAAATCACCAAAAACATTACACCTGAATATCTATGCAGGAAAGTCACAAGCAGGACAGATGGTCAAACAAAGACACCATATAGACATATAGTAAGGGGGCATACTTGAAGACTGGCTGTGAATCAAATTATCTAAATGTAATATTCGTTCAGGTCAGATTCTTCACAAAAGAAATTCCTGTTTTCCACTTCTCCTGTAGCTTTCACGGCAAGAGTCCCAATTAGTAAAAATCTCATAGTGAAGTGTTATACTCATATTTATGAAGATATATCCAAGATAAAATGAGTATTGGATCAGAAAATTTTCAAGGAATTCCCGAATTGCACATATATTCAAAAATTTTCATCAGTTTTTTGTCTCTTCATTACATTTTCTCTATCAATTCATTTTACTTTTTTGAAAGACGCAATGAATTTATCGAAAACTTGGCAAGCGGAGGTAAGTCGTTTTTTTTTAATCTTCTGATCAAACTAACCAGTTAATATGGAATGAATTGATGGATGTAGCCGTTACTACGTGGTAGGAAATCACAATGAAAAGAAAAATAAAAATTTCTATGTTTTTTACCACTTTTATTTTTAACTAACGTTACTGCAGTTTCGTTCTATACGGACATTCTCAAACTAATACAATCATTGTTAGTTTATTGTAGAAATTAGATTAGGGAAATAGAAATTTCCATTCCTCTTTTCATAATTTGTAATGATTTTTCATACACTTTCTTAAAACATGTCATACAGTTACTTATCGAATTGGAGATTTGAAGTGAACACATCTAAATTAAACTGACAATCAGATCAGGAACAGAACAATTCCACAGACCTGCAAGCATTCGACCTTTACACAATACGAAATGTCTTTTCGAGTAAGGTATGGTTCAGATGATATTTGGTGATTTCAAAATNGCACCACATGCCTTTGCACAAAATTAAAATACAACTTTATACAAATTCTAATTCAGTTTGAGAAATATAACAATTGAAGCTCAAACTAATCATTCATCACCACTTTGTCGAAAACAACAATTCTACTTACAATTACGAACTGAACTTGGGTAAAATATTTGCTCACCTCCCGCAAAAACACGTTATGTCTTATCAGCTGAAACACCGTGGTGCCACTGGCGCGACACAACGCTAGCAACATGGCGGTCGATATATCTATGCACATAAGCAAAGATGTGTTTGTGTGCCGTTTAGTTTTTCTGTTATTCCAACTGTACGAATGTGCCCCTCGTACGAATGGTGACCACTTTACCCTAGTGACCATTATTGCAGAGTGCGTGCCTAGGTTCCTACATTTCCAGATAACACTGCGTCATTGATATTTATAGAGTGGTCTACAAGAAAGCAACGAGATACAATTTGAAAAAGAAGACGTGTTCCACACTACTTGCCACTACTACACACGTCTAAACCTAAACCATGAAGCCAAGAGATTTACAAGCATCAAATAAAAAGAAGAAACCACATAATCAAAAGAATATGGTATCCAGCTCTCCAACATTGCCCGATCAAACCCAACATTCAGCAAATTCCTTCTCACCACTCTCTGTCTATAAATATCATTGGCACACTACATGAGGTCTCATCATCGAGTCCACTATCGAGGAGGTCGCGTTGCATTGCCGTCATCCCCCACTGATATGCCCATCGTAGTTATGGGCGAAACATTTGAAATTATTTTCTTTCCATTGGGCCATGGCTACCAGGCCCTGATAATTAAAGTTCGAATTTGATTAGAAGTGTTTGCAATTTGTTTCTTTGGCAAGTGTCATGCTGGGATGCACATCTAACTTTTGGCTTTGATCCTAAATCTGATGATCAATCATCAACAAATAGCTGCCATTTCGATAACAACAGAGCAAGAGAAGGTCACAAATAATTAAATGAAACATGTTTCATTATGATTAAAAAGTTTTAATGAACTCATTTTGGAACATTTCAATTTTTGTAAGATTATATATAACAGACATACACTCAATTACATGGAGACAACTATACAAGTATTTCCTCAGCCAAAATTGAACAGTGCTAATTATTAGGCATGAATCCTGTGAGATTTGTTTTCGCGTATTGCATAAAATAGAGGCTTTCCAATTTCCTTTCAAAAACGGAATTAAAAATAAATTACACTATGTAAAGCCATCGTATAAAACGTTTCGTTGCCACGTCCAAATCTCATCAAAATAAAAAATAAAGTATTGGTCTAATATTAAATTGACTGAAGATTTGAACATGGCAAAAGAACTATTGAGAAAACAAAGCAACGAACAGAAACAATCAACAGGGTTTATATCACAAGATATTTTGTAATTTCTATATATTTCAAGAAATTCCGGAGCAACAACACCCACTTTTTGCCCCAGTGTATATTTTCATTTGACAGATTGAATACACTTCAAAACGTTACCAAAAGCAACGTCCTTTTGTTCATTTTGTATATAATTTAAAAACCATATGAATTAACAATTTTCAATAAATATTAAATAACACAAGTTGCTGCAAAGAAAAATATATTTAACATTTAAAAAAAATTACAGTGACAAAAATTATAATTAATTTATAAAAATATTACCTAACAATTACTTGTAGTATTCAAATACATTTTATAAATTACAAAAATAACAAATGAAAATATACACAATAGAAAACCTATGGTCTATGTTATATTAATTTATCTAAATCTAAAACATAAAACCAATATAATACAAATACAAGGTCGTATAACTCTAGCTAGGCTATAGTCTTTAGTATCTATTAAATAAAATGCCAGATTGGCCCAACTAGTAGGACTCGAAGGAAATATGAAAATGTAAATATACAAGGATCAATATAAATAGACTAAAAAAAGTTTATCGCAGATTCCACCGAAGATGAATTGTTGACCATAAGAACACACTAATCTTGTGATATCTAACCACTAAGAATCATCGGACATGAATGAATTTTGTGATTTCAACTCTTCTAATTCCTTTATTTGCTGACGTAAAAATAATATTCTGAAAATAAATACTCAAATTAGATTGCAGGAAGTATAAGGCGTATTTGAAAATTGAAAGTAATTTTATGAAGAGAGCACCGCGAGAAATTTTGGAAGTTTTACAAATATAGAATTTGAATAAATTTAATCAATCTGTAACACAGTGCTGCAAGAACATTTACAATATACAAAATGATTTTTATACATTTTTCGAGGCCAATCATGATCCTGCATCCAGAAGTATCACAACTTTGACAAAGTTATTAAAAAAAAAATAATGTTTTCAACCTATCACTTTCAAGTGTTGTATTCTACATCCTCTGAGTGGAAACCAAACTTTTCATTTGAGAGGTAGATTCCTCCTTCTGTGGGAAAACTGTTAAAAATCAAATAATTCTATTTTTCAAATCGTGAGTCTATTCATTAGTCTATAAGTTTGACCACATAGTTTCACTATCTTTTGAAAACAAAAAGATATTGATATCAAATTTTCATTCATTGAAGAAATGTTTTTTCATCATTATGAGAGAAATGAAAAATCTGAGAAAAATTTAAATTATCAAAATATTCAGATTTCAGAGAAAAAATTTTTACTGGATGCAATTTGTTATTTCACAAATCATATATTATGCGATTTGAACGATAACAACCCAAATATCTGTTTTCTGTTGATTTAGCGAAAGCTTTCAAATCATGAACGTCTACTCAAAAAAGTTGAGGCAATCGGTTTTCGTAGAGGGGCTTGAAATTTGATAAATTGTTATGTCACTGACAAAATTAAACACGCAAATAAACACATCTATTGGTGATTCTATCACTTTCAATTAGTGTCTGACCGAAAGTTCGGTTTCGGTTGAGTTTCGGCAAAAAACGAGTTTCGGTTTAATTTCGGTTTCGGTAGCAAACCTGCCGAAACTACGACCGAAACCGAAACTGCATTCGGGAGTTCTCGCGCTGTGAACGGGCATGTTCGGCGCGTTGAATTTCATACCGGAGACGAAGACATTTTGCCGCGTCCACGTGCTTAATCATGTCGTGACTCGTGAATTAATTTGTGATTTACTTTGTTTTTTATTGCATAAATATTAAGTACCTTTTGTGATATTGTGTAACAACTTAAATAAGTAATTTTATGTTTAATACTTTTGAAAAACCATTAATAATATTCAAAAGAAAAACCTACACCTACTCAAATAAACACCTCACCTATTTTAAGCATTTTTGAAGTACAATTAATTTTTTTTATTAAATAAGGGGTTGTTATGTTGATTTGTTGATTATCAATCAATAAGTGAAAATGTCGAAGACTGCATAACGTTGTGATTTAAAGATGAAAAAATTAATTAACGTTTTCTTTATGTTTTCCTCAAAACATAATCCTTGTAAGGAAGTTCCGGTTTCGGCCAAAATTGAGACCGTTGCCGAAATTCGGTTTCGGTAGTAAAAACCAGTTTCGGTCGGATACTTCAATTATGGCACACCTCCAGGTAGTGTCTTAAGCACTCTACTATTTAATATATACATATTTAAATAATTTTGCTGATATTGTAATATACAGTGCAAATATAAATAGTCCCCCCTCAACTTTTTAATGGAACAAGATATCAAAGTCGGACAAAATAAAATATCATCCTTTTAAGTACTTTTTGATAATAAAGACAATAGTATTGCATCACTCTTCGCCGTGAGGGCGCTACCAACTTTTTTTAAGGGAGGCCTTGTGATAACTCATTTGATAGACATTTCAATTATCTATCCAATACTCTTTTATTGTTGGAAATCGAATTAGCCCATTTCCGAGCAATTAGCAGTTTTATATTCATTTCAAGAAACTGCAAACTAACTATGAATATACCACTTTAAAACAATATTCAAAACTCACTGCAGTTCCTTCCAATAAATATTCAAAATGTTCATCATCCACTCCCTGATAACAACTTAGTTTGTTTTTAAAAAATCCCTACATTATCCCTAGAAAAGTATCATTGCAAACACTTCTTTTTCTTTCACTAGTTCGGACTTCCATTGTCTACTATATAAAATGATTTGAAATCCCTGAAACAAGTAAAAAGGAATAATAAAAAAAAAGAATAGCTTTTTTTTATTTATTCCTTTTTACTTGTTTCAGGGATTTCAAATCATTTTATATAGTAGACAAAGGAAGTCCGAACTAGTGAAATTCATCACGAAACATTGTCAATCACCTTCAAACAAACCTCTTTTTCTACCCACGAGCTCTGAAATGATATTTACTTTCCCAAGAAACAATGTTTATAATAGGGAATACATATTACACTCTATAAACAACAATAAAATCATTTTTGTTTCTATCAAGTAGTAAAAAAACTGATGATACCCTTGAATTTTTGTGAGAATTGGTGAAATCCAAAGTTTACGTAACACAACCACAGTCTACTACAGAACTCATGATTAATGGTCCTGACGGAATTACCCCAAAAACATTCAATTATGAATTTGAAAATAAAACTGTTATCATCAGAAAGTGGATGGTGACCAATACAAACATTTACTGTAATGACCTGAAGTGAGTTCACGATACATTTTTTTTCTTGAAATTATGTTATTTATCGTTAGTTTATATATCCTTGAAGCTAATATAAAAACTGTTTTCTTCATGAAGAAAACTGTTTACTTCATCTCCTGAAAACGTAAACTTGAAGAAACTCGCGTCGAGAAGAGTATTACAGTTCGGGTGTTTGGAAAAAGTGCTTGTTTTGCAATCCCTTTACCAGTTATCAAAATTGGCTTTCAATAACAATTTATAGTAAATTAAATTGAGATGGGACCATCACGTTTCAAGCACTATACAAATAAATCTAAAAC